AGCCAAGTTGACACACAAACCTAAACTACCACAGACAACAATTGTTTTATTGTTGTATATTGCTTTAAGTAAACACTGATTCTTAAGTGATTGGTTTAATAAAAATTAGACAGCAAGCCTGGTATATTTTTTTCTTTATATCTTTCTGATCTTTTCTTAAGGCTGTTTTTTTGAGGCCTAAATGATTGTAGCATACTGGCTAAGGCACTTGACTGCTAACCAGAAGGCTGGCGGTTCAAACCCACCAGCCACTCCTCGGAAGGAAGATTGGGCAATCTACTTCCATAGTGATACCTCCTCGGAAACCCAAGGAAGGGTCGCTATGAGTTGGGGCCAACTCGACGGCATGTAACAACAACAACACAAATGATTGTGGGGGCACATTAATGCACACCTCATAGTTTTCTTATCTTTAAAATTAGGAAGTTATACTAGATAATCTGAGAGACTCCTTCTGTCTCTCTAGCTATAATTCTCTTATTTCTGTAGTAAGATTGTATGTATGACTCTCAGGCATGGTGCTTGGACCATGCAGTTATTAGGCATTTGTTAGTGGAGCCCTGTGCTTCACTTGCGATTAATACTTTCATTGACTCACAAGTTAATATGAACCTCTTATTTGGTAGGTTATCTCATCAGAAATGCTTTTGTTTATTGGAAAGATAGTGCACATTCCCTGTGCCCAAGGATTAGTGTGGGGCCCATCAGCCCTTGAGCATTTTATGCTGCCCCCACAATGGGTTCACTTTAGGCTAATGAGAGGTTGCTTAAGGTTAAAAGCCAGTTGCTGTTGAGTAGACGCCAATTCATGGCAACCTCAGTGGTGTCAGAATAGAACTATGCTCCATAGGGTTTTCAATGACTGATTTTTTTGGAAGTAGATCACCATGCCATTCCTCTGGAGCCTTGAACCTCCAACCTTTCAGTTAGCAGTCAACTACATTAACCATTTGCACGCTCCCAGCTACTTAATGTAACGTAGGTATAATGATCAGTTTAATGTTACTCAGGTTTAAAAACTTGCTCTGTTGTTCCTATTCAGTCTGTTTTCTGGAAAGTGAGTGACAATCCAACAAGACATTACCATTCTTAACAATGGCTCCTTTTTCCATCAGCACAGTGTAAGAGATTAGCCATATCAGCATCTTTTTTTGTGCCACTATCACCTTTTCCCTTAATGACTTTTTAGTGAATGCTTACTTCCTTTTATTGTTATTCATAGTTGTTGCCTGAATTGATTCTCTTAAAGCTTTTCACATTTTATCATTTCCTTGTATTAGATACCATGATCTCATGAAAAAAATGAAACATACAATACCCAAGAGTGACCTAGGACAGTGTCTCAATTTACTGAACTCGGGGAAGGTTTGGCTTTCCTGTCATCAGTGGGTCTTGAACATCTGTTGATATTCTCTTTAGGTTCTTTTCTTTTGAGTGGAGATAACTTTTGGGGGAGGCTTGGGAATCTGTGGCTGTCGTAAATGAGTGCAAAGCATGGTGCTAATGCAAAACGCCATGCAGTTCATAAATAGCACCAGTAGTAAGCACATTGGTTGGTTGGAAAGCCCATCAATTTCAGTGACTAAGCATGAAGACATATAAAAGCTCTTTTATTTGGTCACGGCTTGCAATTTAGTTATTGAAGTGTTGGTGAATAGAAATGTAATTCACACCAGACTACTATTCATATGATGTTAGTTAGCATAGCACCAATCAGCTTCATAGAAAATCATTTAGCCTCCTTAGGGCATCATTTCATCATCTGAAGAATGTGGTAGTTGATCTACAATAAAGTTACTAAGCCTTGGCACTATTGACATTTGTGGCAGATAGTTCTTTGTTGTGGGGGCTGTCCTGTGTATTGTAGGATGTTTAGCAGCATCCTTGGGCTCTACTCACTAGATGAGAGTAGCATCCTCTCAGTGTGACAAGCATAAATGTCTCCTGACATAGGCAAATGTCTTCTGGGGACCAAAATTGCCCCTATTGAGAACTACTGGTTTGGAATCATAATATTTTTAAGGTATATTCTAACTTTTTATAGGAGCTCTGGTGGTGTACTGGTTAAGGCATTTGACTACTAACCACAAGTTTGGTGGTTCAAACCCACCAGCTGCTTCATGAAAGAAAGATGGGGCAATCTGCTTTCATAAAGATTTATAGCCTTGGAAACCTTGGAAGTTACTATGAGTCAGAATCAACTTGATGGCAGTGAGTTTTCTGACTTTTTATGATATATCTAAAATGGTATGATTCTACCATCCCATAGTTTGAATATAATGATTATCAAAGTTTTGTGATAAATTTTCTTCTGTTGAGTGACATGTATGAAGAAAGAATTCATTTCACTTTTACTTTTTTAGAAGACTTTTTTGATAAGGCTTTAATATTGCTATGGATTTTTCTTCCCATTAAAATTTGAGGAATAGTTATCAAAGTTGAAATAGGCTACAGGAGAAAAACCTTTGACTTCCAAGACTTTATGTTTATAGGTTAATGTGTATGGTTGGGATGTGCTATGCTACTGCATGAGGGTACTCACCGTGATGAGTAAAGATAAGTCCTGACACATAATATACCTTCAAAAATATTTGATGCATAGATGGATGGATGTAAAAATTATATAGGGAAGTCTCTGACCTCCTCTAACTTTACAGGTTTGGAAGAGGATCACCATTAACTCACCAAGACAGATTCTTATGAGGTAGAGGTCAGACACACCTCCACCCTCGAAACTTTTTACTAATTCTGACACCAACTGTCCCTCCCACTCTCTACTTCTCTACGGTGTTTGATATATCATTGCAATGACCACAAAGAAGTCATAGACAATACTCACAATTATGGAGTTTATTAAGGAAGTTAACAAGTTAAAATTCAGGATCAGAAACTGCATCAGACTCAGGATACAGTTCTTAAATCAGGACAGCTTCTTATCAGCAGTACCCATAGGTATACCTCCCTCTGGCCCTCAACCCCTTGGCCCTATGATTCCGTGGCCTTTGCCCTGCTCAGGCAAGTTTTACATTCCACCAGGAAGTCTCGGCCCAAGGGAAGTCAGCTCTAGCTCTGTGGATCAGCAGACTTAGCTCCAACAAGAGCCTAGAGGCCCCCTGCCTGAAGGCACTCAGCTTTCTCCCTCCATGGGCTGAGAAGCCCACTGCATTGCCTCTTGCCAGTCTCTGGTTCTGCTGACTCTGCTGTCTCTCTGCTGCCACTTCTCTGCCACCACTTATTGTCTCTCCAGTATGATAGCTCTCTCTCCTGGATCTTAGGCGATTCCCCGAGCAGGGATCCTGGATCCAGTGGATGTGTTCCACTCCCATCTCTTCTTCTGGATGGTAGTCAGGTCTCCCCCTTTGGGATTGTTCATTTTAACCTTGCAAGAATGGCAAAACTCACCAATCTGCTCATTAGGGTTCCATACACTTTATTTATAGGAGCTCGGGTAGCATAGTGCCTAAGGCACTTGACTGCTAACCACCAGCCACTCCTCGGAAGGTTGTTGTTGTT